GTTTTATCGTTTACAACATTCGACTATCCGCAAGACTTCATTTTCCGTTTCTATAACAGACAGACAGACAGACAAGTGCTTATTATATTTTGTTATTGGTTCCTTCGAAGTATATAACGCTATAATTCAATACTTTCAACATGAACTCTTTAACGGTATGAAGTGTGAGTAGTACAATGTTGTGGATAAGCGCCGTCGACCGATGACAGAATGCCCATTTTGTCAGAGTTCCTGTGTCGTGATTAGAGAGATGCCTGATCTCTTCACCATCAGTAGTCACCGATCGAATCCATAATACTAGACTATTATAGAAGGAAGCAATAGGTGGCCATTGATGGGACCGCTCTAGCTACATAATGGCACGCCTGAAGTGAACATTTATCGTTGCTGTTTTTTGTTTGTTGTAGATTTCAGCTAAATATATAAGTGTCGTTCATGACGATTATGTTTTCTTTTCAATCAATCCAATCACTGCGGTTACCTCTTCAATTAAGAATTAAAGCCACTCATTTTCGTCCGAACATGTTTTTCTATCCGTAAATAATTTTCAACAGCGATTGTCCGCTAAGAGGTTTCGCTAGATAATGACTCGTTGAAATATCACTAAATAGCACCACATACAAAAAAAAAGTGCAGCGCAATTAAACTTTAAGCTTACAGTAAGTCTAAAAAGCGAAAACAGTCTCAAAAAGCAGCTTCTCTGTACGACCCAATTAGCATATGGTATTCTCCTTACCAAAACGGTGGGTTAATTTCTGTATCAGGAACCCAGTTGTATAAAAATAGCTATGTCGAAGAATTCTCGAGCTTTTTTTGTCTAAAATTTGTCGAAGGTGTTCAAGTTTGTTCAGATTTTTAGCAGCTGCATAAAAATTAGCAGTAACATCAATCAAAAGTCAACTTCTTGCCAGAAAAGCTTTTTATCTTAGCGGGGATTCATTGAGCTCGGATAGGTAGAATAATAGCTGACTCGCGCTCAAGTCCCCCCAAAGCACCACACCGTTTTCAGCCATCGTAATCTTTTTGCTTTTTTCTAGAAACAACTAACTCTCACCGTATTCAAGGGCAGGGAATGCGCGCAGGCCTTTACGATAAAAAGCCTGTCAAAGCTTGAACGTACATCCTATATAGCCTTATATTCGCGGGCTGCCTAAAATGAAAGTTTTCTAACAGGAGGATTCTAGCTGGGTCGAGCCAATCGGGTGGAAGGGTCGTAGACGACACCGTTCGCGTTTGCAGTGATACGTTATATATCTGTCATCGTCCTATAGTCGCTACGTGTTTAGAAAAATCGCCTGGTTCTCGATTAGGTGTCAAGCAAAAACAGGTACTGACCGAGATTTTAGGCAGAACAGAAGTTAGGCCAGCATTTTTTCTCACCTCTGCATTTCTAGTAGGCTATGTGATTAGGGGTTTTGACTATCTAGAATTGAGTGAGTTATTGGACAAAAACGAATCATGTGATTAGTCCTGATGTAACGAACCACTTTGGGCTTCAGAGCACACATGACCTATTAAAACAAAAAAGGCTTTTTGAGAGCTGTTACTATTATAGTCTTTTTTAAGTATCATCATTCTGTCATTTACAATAAACAGTTTCTCCTGTCATAAAGTGTAAATTTAACGCGAGTGTTTATTAGGCGAATGCTAAGCCACCAATGTTCAAAAAGCTCCAAATATAACAGCTATCCAGACCTACGGGCAAGACGATAGCGAAGATGTGTGTGATCTATATAAATATGTACTGTGACGTGACGAAGACAACTAACGTTTGTATTTTAGAGGCTAATAGCGTGGCAGAGAGAACAAAACTGCTATGAGCTTTCAGGCTAGCGAGTCGAAGTCAGCAGAGTGTTTCCGAGAGACGCGGCCCTAGCGAGGTAAAAAAACTTCAATATCTTTGTCTTATTATACCTACTGTCACATTAGTCGGTGAAAATACGTAAAGATTCCCTTTTTCATCTTATAATGATCGTTTAACGTACGCCTACTATGATTACTGAGTTATACTAATTCTTATTCTGCAATTGGTATATATTCTGCAGAGCTTTCAGGCGGACAAAACTGGTGGAATCCAGGGCTGGTGGTTCCGTGTACTCTCAAGAAAGATCGAAGCCCCGCAGGTGGTGGTCAGGTGGTAGAGGTGGGCTGACAGTTTTTACGAGTTACAGTGGATGCCACCGGCGTATGGGTGATAATTAGGGAATATATATTAGTTATTAATCTGCCTACAACCAAAAAGGTGAGGATAGCATGTAGGTTAGAAAAACGTACTGCTTTCGAGCTCTGAAAACTATGAATCAATTCGCTCGTAACCGGGAAGCTTCTCCCAGAACGGCATAGACTATAAATGAACAAAGTTATTCATTCGTTGCCTGAATGCGGCTAGCTTTCAATAGGGCTGCGTCGTATGTTATAATGCGTCTCAAGAAGCCACGCGTGTTGTGGCGTTGAACATTGAATTATAATAAATGGCTTGCCGGTCACAATGTGATTATCGCCAAGCTGAATATATACGTATATATAAACAAAGTGTCGTAGAATAACAAACGCGTTCTGATTATCACTGCCATCACGTTCTTTGCACAATAAATAGTAATTGTTAATTTACCTCCTTTGTGCTTGTTGCTAAAGTTTAAGTTGACGTTTATTCCTGCTGTTCCACTTCTTGCCTTTAAGTACGTTAGTAAATAAGCAAACGAATTTCAATTTGAACGCGGTGCGGCTGACGTACGCACCAAATCAATTGCCTAGCCATAAAAACGATTGTCTCAGCATCGTAATGACGTTTGTACAAACGCATCTATTGATGTTTGCCTAATATAATTATGTTTGGGCTGTACGTAAAACGGTAACGTTCATTTTTAGTCAAAACCGTGTCTAGACTATATTATTATTCATCTGCGTCTTTGCCTTATATGTAAACCTTTATACTTATTAACTTGAAGTTAAATTTACTTCGCCGAAGCGTAATTAATTATTTAATAATATTTATCCACAGTTCATGGCCCTCGACAGACTCTTACGAAGATAATAGTGGTCATCTCATATCATCAGGCATTCTAAAGACGAGAGTTCAATTCCTTCGTTTCGTATGTGGAAACGTTTTGCTCTTTTTTTTTTTTTTTTTTCCCGAATAAATGTATTTATTTAGGTAGTGCTAAGTGTACCAGATGGCTGACGTCATATTTTACAGACATTTAGCCACTTGTGCGCCCCATCTTCGAATGGCAAAAATCTGCTACTCGATAATTCGGTTAAAATTTTTTATGTCTGAAGTCGTTGCGCCGATCGCAATGGTGGCCACCTGCATAAGCAACTAGTTAACACCGACATGTCTGGCTTTGATCTTAACATATCTGATATTAGTAAGTTGGTGTACACGATTGAAGGTAATACAACGAAATAACTGACGACTTTTTCCCGTCATCACTAAAGTTGGCGTTTCAAAATATAGGACTAGTGTTTAGGAGACCTTTGATTGCGCTCCATTCTTTCACGAAGCCTTTAGGACTAGCGTTAGAAATCTGTGATACAGTACCACGCAAACTCCAGGCTGCCTTGTAGCCGCACAGCTAGATGTGTTCTAGGTCAACCTTCGTGTCCCAGCAGTGTTTGTTTGTTAGCCTCAGGGACACGTGTTAGCCTGGGTTCGAATCTGGACGCAGACATGCATTGTTTCGTGTTGGGACCAACTGTCTAAAGTAGTGACGGCTACTTCGGAACGGCTTGGACGCTAGCATTAAACGCGAAGAACTGGATGAAGTTACTGGGCATGCTAAAAGCGTGCAGGTTTGATTGTATTGTTCTCTTTACACAGTTGCTTGTATAGAAGACGTTCCTTTTTGTTGCGTTGCGCGCACAAAATAACCTTGTAGAAGGTTCTCAGTACATTAGTTCCATATTAGTTTGTCGCTGTAGTTTCTATCGCTGTTCGGAATTCGTCTATCCATCTCTCCCTGTATTCTGGTCCCTAACGTTCCCGCGCCCCTATGCCCACACCTTCTTTGATAAGCCTGCTTCTCCTAATAGTATACTAGTCTACGATCTTCATAGTTCTTGACCCTGAATCGAAAAATATTGTCATTTTCTCTACAGGGCCAGTAATTGAAATCCAGATTTCCAGTTGTCAACGAATGATACGCCATAATAGTTCAGGTGTGATTGTATTTTCTACGAAATTTACAAGGCGTCCAACACGTACCGGATATACGTTCGCATGAATTGGTTTATAGAACATGGATACTATATAAACACAAAAAGATAAAAATCTATAGTAATTCTGTTATATAAATTTATTCTTCTGCTAATACTAATGTAGGGGCGTGCTGCTCGTTTGGGTCAATTGTATTTGCTTATAGTTCGGTGTGATATCTACTGTATAGCTTCACAGTTTCCTTGAAATACAATTATACAGAATTTGTATGGGGCCCATTGCTTCTTCAGCGACATTGTTTGTACAATTTTTCATGAACAGCTACGCGATATCTAGTTTCTGTTTGTTTGTTGCTTATCATTCTGGGCTTCTGTTTTAATAGTAGGTACAACGTTATAATCATGCCAACCCAGATGCTGTAATAGCACGGATAATAATCGCTTCTAAGTACAGAGTATTTTTCATCTCCTTGACTGACGCCTATTTGCGGTCTGTCTAATTCGTCGTCTGCTACTATACCATTAGTAATGCTCAGGATCTGAGAATATGCCCGCCGTAATTCAAACCGAAGGCCAATTTAGTACCTCTCCCCCACCGTCGTTCGCGGCACCCTAATGAATTTAGGCTACTGAGTGTCATCTGGTGAACTTCACATCAAAGCCACGTTTACTACTACTACTACTACTTATGCAATTATCTGTCGGGATGTTTGCTTTGCTTAGATAATTCGCTTTTTGTTGTTTTTCTACATCTTCTTATTGTCGCTGCCGCCGTTAGCGACCACATTTTATTGGTGTTTTTGTTTTCGCAAACGCAGCTCGACATCTTCGTTTAGTTGGTCGCCTCCGGTCCAGACCCCATTAATTGGACAAAGCGAAAAGCGGCTGAAGCACGGATCTACTCGAATAGCTACTTCGACAAAACAAGCGTTCGCCAACATTTCTACCACAGTTCGTCCACCCATCCTTCAATGCCCGTTTGTTTGTGCATCCCAGCAATTACATGTGTGAAGCTTGGTGTCGCCATCTACATGAATACAAAAGACGAGCTCGTGTGCTGTGCCGACTGCGCTGCACTGATATTGTTCGGGGCTCGACATTTTAGAGACTCATAAAGGAGCGAAAACGAGTTGGATACAGGCGCTGACCCATGGGTCGTCAGCGCATGCCAGCACCGACGGCCTCGCCCTTTTTCTCCATCTAGCTTTCCAGCGTTATGGACGTTGTCGCATGTTGACAAATCCTTCAATCCGTAACAGAAAGCTGGTCGGAATTAATGCCCCTTTGTAATTATGTTTCTGTTTGGTAGCTGACGGGGCGCAGTGTTTTCAGTTTTTGCTCGTTCATCGCCATTCGGTAAACACAATGTAATATCATCCTATTCTCACTGTAGCATCCCGCCTGGCCTTGCCCCTTCCCCGTCGGAACGTCGCACCCTGACCACTGCGCGTAACTATCGCTTAGTACGGGAGGTAAGGGCAAAAGTAAAAGCTCTACGAACGGCAGGATTATCAGGAATAAGCGCCTGCCTATCTAGACGACGTCGAGAGCTCTGAGGCAGACCTTTAGAACGTCATTTTATATTGTGATCAGAAAATTGTCGGGTAATTCCTGTTTTCACTCGGCTAGCGTAGCGACCGTATGTGTGTTTCGCAGAAAAAACGAATACAATTTCACCATTTGTACTACATAGGTAGACGTACATACAAACCGTACATATGATCTGGTTAAATATAGCGCCCCGCCTCACCGCTCTTCTAATCTTTACAGAATAGCGCCGACTGGTCCACCGACAAAAACAAATGGTGATGCAAATAGATACAGCCTGTAGGCAGTGCGGTTTCGTAAGTAACGGACGCGATGGAGACAATGCGTTGACAAACAGTCGATAATAGGGCTAGAAGCGAACGCCAACCAGCTCAGGTCAATTACCTCGAATTACGGAATATAGCGGTCCACAGAGATGCTGCACGGATATTTAACGGGAAAAGTAACGCCTGTAAACGCCTTTCTTTAATATATTTAATTTAGGCTCTAGGAACTTCAACAAAATCCATCTTACTAGCCGGGTGTGAGCAGCCTGCGATTTTTTTCCTACATCCGACATTAAACAGCAGACGTTGTACCACTGTTTCATTTCAGATAACGGATGTACGCGTTGGATTGGATTACCTACTCCATTTAGGTAATGTTAATTAACGATAGTTTTTTTTAATTTTTACTGAAACACCCACAGGTATGAGCTTTGTGTTGTTTTTTTATCAGCGAAATTCATGCAAAAAATTCACAAACACAAAAAAAAGGCCGATTCACAACGTTCTAGACAACACAAAAACAACTAGTCTACATAGTAAAAGCATCAACTATAGCAAAGACCATACATTAGGAAATTGGGAAATGTTGTGTGTACTGGAAGCCCGTAACGCCGCAAAATAAAAAATATTTATCACTCAGATGATTGCGGCTAGTACGAAGGGTGTACCCTTTTTGTGGACAAACAAGACAACAAAGATCTACCATTGTTCAGTTAACGAAAATCACCATGTTGCGGTATATTGAATTATATCAGCACGAAAAACATAGTGTTTTTTTTACAGTGGCCACTGGCGGCATATTTGTTTGCCATCCGAAATCGGCCGGGGACTATCGGCTTTGCTGTAGTAGTTACTGTAGAGTGATAGAAAATTTTAAGGTATACTCGAACATGAGCGTAATATGGATACGCAATATCCCTATTATGTTCCTGCATGTCCAGAAGGACCATGATCGGACCTCGACACTTCCCAGTCGGCACTCGGAAGACGATTTCTCGGATCGACTTCAATTGCCGATTCACCCTCAACAGACTGCGGACTGATCGCGTTCATGCATTCAACGTAGAGCTGTTGATATGTTTCTTTGGAAATCGCCTGTTTCGAAGAAAAACTGATCGGTAATTGAATGACTAAACGATGTGTGTCAGATTTAGGTAAAGCTGATGGCAACGATAGGTTATAATGTCGGGTCGTCGACAGCTTCGGCAGTCCGACACAGATACTTCATCTAATCGATTAACGTAGTGATCAATGTCAGCCAGTGATCGATCCTGACATTTGATTGAAGATAACTCCGTGAGTTTAAAAAAAAATTTAACATATCTACATATGAACTATTTATGTAACTCTAAAATTGACTACCGAACCGCCTAGTTAAGATTAGAAAAGTTATGCAAGATGTATATCTAGACCCTCGTCTCGTTACCCGAGGCTTATCACGAATCAAACGGACAGATAATGCCAAGCGAACCTTATCGGCTGACTGATGAAAGTATCGATCAGCCATGGGTGAACGATACCGGCTCGCGTTCGTTCATAGCTTAGTTCTCAGCTGAACTTATGGATAGCAAAAAAAAACGACCATTATGGCTCATTACAGCCTTCGAATTTGGTCTTTATTCAGTAATACATCAGCAATCGATCGATACTCCTATTTTGATTTTTCAATAAACACCAGATTTTTATCGTGGTCTAGTCGAAGCATGATTTGGAGTGCTTTCGTATCCATATTACGTTTATCAACACGTTGGTCCGATCAATTCGATTCATTCGTGGCCGATTGCGTGTCTGATTCGGTAATTGACTTACATTTTCTTCTGATGATATTTCATACAACGGCGAACACTTTCGTCTTATCGTTCTAATCGCTGCTTTCCTTTCTAGGGGATGTTGGAGACCCGACGGAACTTTTGCGTCTGCTAGCAAAAAAAAACGCGGCGAAAGAAGGACACGTGTATATCGTACCATCGTAATCAATATGTAGATCTACAATATCAGGCTGCAATGCTATCATTTGTGGCCCATCGTTTTAAAATAATCCGTACGTAATAGGGGCTGGATTTTTCTGGCCAGCAGCGTAACTTTCGTAGAAAATGGAAAAACGCCGTTGAGGGTGTCAAGACATTCGCTTGGTCGTCTTGGTTCCCCGAACGTCATTTCCACAACTGTTTTTGTTAGACGTATATTTTTTCCATAAAAAATTCAAGCGATCCTAAACGGGTTCTGAACAATAATGCGCAATGCAAACAAACGCTCGAAACGTCCGAACTGTGGCTTGGATCCACTGGAAGAAGGAGCCTTTAGAGACATTTACGACTTCACTAGCCATATGTTTATTAATCAGAAGTTGGAAAATTTTGTAAAAACGAGGCCGTTTAGGTACAATTTCCCAAGGCGCAACGGATACAAATAGCCATAGATTTACTATACTACACATAGGTAATATATGTACAAAGCACACAGAAGCGCTGGTTACTTTACGACGTCGGCACATTATGAACATGTTGAATAACCACGAGCAGAAGCGATTGTCTAAATCAAATTTACGACTCAGACATAGGAAACGCGAAACTAATGTTTTTATGGTTTAGAATGCATTCTGCTGTGATCCTTCTGATACCTTTCTCTGATACCCTTTGATACGTTGGCGGCAACAACAATGAAAGGAAGCGACTCCGTTATTGTAGGACGTCCCACCAAAAAGGACTGATAATGTTGATATACGTGGCGTTTGTCGAGGAGAGCTAGCAGGCGCCTTTATGGCAGTGGCGGTGGAAGGCGCCAGCGACAGCGGTGTCGGTAAACGAGAAAATGAATTTATAGATGTATTGATCTACACATGTGTACCGTGTCGTGCTGAAATAGAAACGAGTCCAATAAAGATCAACTAGGCAGGATAACAACGCAGGCGTAGCGGAGCTTGTTCAATAGTCACCCATTAAAGGCGTAAACTACCGCACGCTGCCGCCGTACGATGGACAGACAGACGTTTAACTATACGTAGGTGCCATGTCTACCTAAGTAAATCGATTGATACCATATGTATTGTGCTAGTGCAGCTCGCAATGGCGCTCTACGCCACAGATAGGCTAACAATGCTATACACATCGCGTGCGCGTATGTCCAGTCTATATTTAACAAAATACTGTATTACATCTCGTTTCTGTTTATTGCGATCAGCCTAGAATTACGGGCCTTAGGCCCATCGGCAATGGCTGTGCGACGGTTTCATTCCAGCAGGGCAATGGTAAACCAATCAGTATAATAGTGTACATTTGGACACGAGTGAGCGTTTGTAATGCGTGAACACGTTGCAGTTCCTATGTGTTTTATTATCCTTACGTCAAACACCTGTCGTGGCCAGACCAAGGCACAGATCTTACGTAAGTGATATTCCCTTTGACTTCTAAGCGATCTTACATCGATTCGGTGTGACGAATCGCAATTTTATTGAGACCTTCCTCATGTATATACACGTTTTGTTACGTAACGTTCTTGCGTCGACGCAACGTTCTTGGCCAGCCATAAACGCCTACTGATGACTTTGGTCACTTTTCAATAAAGAAAGTTCGATGAGTTGCGTGGTACAGTTGATAACGGCAGAGCCGGCGTAACTGATAGCTCAATGCGCCCATGTTTTCTGAATAGCATCGAAATAATTCTGAACGTTTAGCGCCGCAATCAGTACAAACGGATCTTTACTTGGGAAATTATGACATTAAACAGAATCGACAAAAAAAAAAGCTATGTATCAATGCAGTGTAAAAATAAGACGTAGTAAAGGGAAGAGTTGATATTAATCCGCCCGTTGGTTTGACATTGCCGTCGCTGGGTGGTAACTTCTTAGATCCTAGTTGGACCTGTTCTATGGCGATAGCTTCCGTCCCAGCTTCCTATTTTTTATATATTTTTAGATTTCCTATCGTACAATAAATACTTTAACACGAAACCTACCAGCAATGGTCAACTTTTTTTCCTGAAGTTGACCTACTTAAGTGAAACGAAAGTCAACATTTAACTGTAAGTATCGACAGTTTTAAGATGTTAATTAAGCATTGAAGACATGAAATTAATATGCCATGTAATAGTATATTAATATATATATACCGTCACGGTTCCGGCCCCCACGATAAATCACATACGCAGTTCGAAGGATTGAAGTGCTTCCGGCAGTACACGTATACCGTGAACAGGTGTCATGCCAATAAACATAAAGCGGGAGAGTACTAAGTGGCTCGAGGCGCGTGCTAGTTGTTTCACAAGCCATAACTGAAATTATCTATGCCAGACGCGAACAGTCAACGCCAGCGTCATCCTTAAAGCATAGCGCGTTGTCAAGCTAACAGACGTAGACACATCGCCAGACTATTCATTGAAGTGGAGCCGCAGTATTGTTTTATTCGTTACAGATAGCGCCCATCAAGTAAACCTTTCTGGAATGTTCAATACGCGCAATTATAACCGAATCACCTTGTTGACACCGTTGGCTTTTAGAGAAATCTGAATATGTGAAACTTACTTAGGTTCCACCGTGACCTTTTCTCTGTACATTTTGTTTAGCGTATGCATATATTGGGCGGTAAGGAACGGGCGTTTGAATCAGCGACCCTTTCAAAGTTCGAGTCACCTCGACTCGGCTATTAGCTAGCCAAATTAAAGCTTCAAACGCTTTTATTTCTGTCTCCAATGGCTGAGATATAGCGCCATCAAGTCGTAACGCCATCAGCATTGTCGTGACCATCAACATAGGCATGTTGTCAAGGCCCTGGCATTTGTTTTAACTAACAGGAGTTGGGCCAACCCGTGATAATTACCACTGATTGAAGAAGTAGTGATAATGCCAATGGGGTACTAGTTTAACCTTCTTCGACGCGAGGACGGCGCCGTTCGTAGAATAAACATCCGTTGAGCGGTTGAAGTAACTGTTTCACGATGCGATCATGCCCTAGCTAACATCGGACATGCTGTGAAGCAGTGCATAATATTTATCATGCATAGTTCGGTTATACCATCCCAGTCCCCTTTATATAGACAAGTACCATTTTCAGCTCGCGCATGCGAGCCTATTGCTGCTCAAACAGATCGCTCACAATAGGTGGTTATTGTTGTGCGTCTCCCCTGCGATCGAAGGCACCCGTATAGGCGTATCTCCATATCTTACGAAGATTTTATCGAAAAAAAAATCCCGTTACGTTATACGGACGGTATCGTGTAAATGTTGCACATCTTTATAGATTAACACTGGGACAATTGTCACAAAAGAACTAGTATATATATTATCGCCTGAGCCCTCTATAGATTTCGAAACTTCCGCTTCTCTTTCTGATGATTTGTTTGCACCTATGGGTATACGAGTGGTCATGAATGAAGAAAAAAAATCACCTTAAAGGATATTCGTCTTCATGTCGAGTGTATTCTCGATCAAGTAGTAACTCATCCTCAGCCGGTCGTTATCCATATTGAAACGGCTAGCCCCCTCCCGGTGTATGCCTAAAGCCAGCATATGGCGTCATCTATTAGAAAATAGACGAAGCTGTCTTGTCTTAATTATGACGCCATGGACGATAGTACGGAGAAAAGTGTGAGTTACTGTCTAAGGAGCTATCAGTTTGCAGCCGAGGTGATGACGGCGCTGGTCCTGTTTTAACAACGATGAATGGGTGATTAAAGAAGGTTTTATGTACGTTGCTAAACAGATAGCAAGCATATGTCCTTTGCACCTGCCTGTCAAGCTGGCCATGTCTAAAGAATGACCACGTGAGATGGTTAGCGGCGATCGGTGGGGTTTTTATGTATCTTAACACACAACAAACGTTACGCCACTGTGTTAGATGATAGTATCGATTTGTCCTGTTATAGGAAAGCTATGTAAATATTATACTTTCTGTCAAAATGATTAGCTTTATTGTCGAGGACAGCTAAACCTGACGCGCCTTCCGAATTAAGCCGCTATTCCTCCAACAAAAAGGTAACAGTCGTTTTCATATGGACCAATTCGCATTACTGACAACTGCGATATGGCCAGATTGTTGACTATTTAATCATAGGGACTACGTCTAGCATCCTATACTCTATATTTTCATGGAGCATCGGCTTTCACAACGTGACCCTAGATACTTGCGTCGTTAACTATTGCCGAGACCGATCTCATACGTTCTTATCCATGTTTCTTCCGCCGCTGAAAAATGGGTCGTATGAACAAACGAATGCAAATATCTTAAAAATCGTATAATAGCGGAGAAACATTAGAAAGTCGTGATGCGGCGGGAGATAATCGACGATAACCGGGAGCAAACCATTTTTCATCAAAATGCAAAATAAATATTGCTCTGTTGACCCTTTCAATAAACCCTTTGGCACCGGCGGCGGTTACTGCAACAGACACATCAGCGAAAGCAACCTGGACAACTCGCGTGATGTTTCCTTTTTTGTAAATCCTGTTTGTTTTTGTCTGTTGCGCTGAGGTACTGAGATACCGTTGTAGTTTCTTCGGTATAATTTTCGACGTGCTCTATCTTCTTTCGCACATCGATGTGGAAACGTGCGTGGCATATGACCCCACGTTGTGAGAGTTCGCCCAAAACGAGTAATTTATGTGAGATACTTATAACAGGACAATGGCTGGAGTTTTACGTTACATTGCAGCACCTCCTTACGATGCTACACATTAAATGGTAATTTAAGAGGGACTGTTTTTGTCCGGCATACGTTGTCTGTGTATGACGAACTAATCGATAACTTTTTACTGTCGTGACGTGAAAAAATTTCGTTACCTGCAACATGATTTTAAACAGGTCCAATGTTTGTTGTAGATTGCACCCCCTTCATTCTGCTCTGTTTATTCAACTCATCCATATTGTTTGGCGCTACCGACCGATGTTATGTCATCGCTACTGCAGTAAACCTAAAAATATGAATTAGCTATCCTCCCGTACAGCATCAGATGCTCGATGTGGGTAATTAGTAGGACGATCTCATGAGTCCTGGACATTATTACTATCTACGTACTGTGGTCGTGCTAGATTAGAATGGGTCAATAAATTATGCATCACGGCCTGTACGTGTTGACCTTTAGTTGTAAATGCCGTAAATCAGTGAAGTAGTGCGCTTCCAGACAGGTGTAAGCGTGTTTTCCTTTCCTGGGGGGGAGGGGGAGGGGGAAGGGGTTGTTTTATTGAAAATGGAAGTGATTTTAATAGTTAAGTGAATGCTTGGGTTTAATGCCCTCCTTCAGAAAAGGGGTGTACATGTACAGGTAGGCGCAGGCGAAAGCCGTATCGTCCTACTAGTTAGTAGTCTCGTACTCCCTGTTCCTGGACGCATCCAACTCTAACGATTTTATTAGTGTTACCAGCAATACATCATCGTGGCTATTTATTAACGGTGCGCTTCTGTTGTCGCAGCTTGCGTGCCTGTCCTTGCTGATATTGAAGCTTCTGATGAAAACAAGTAATATCCGAAGAGCACTTATCTGATAGGCCATTACGTTACTATAGGTTTGTTCATTGCCCCTCTGCGGGTAACAACAAATAAAGGAATTTGTGTATGAAAATACTAAGTATAGCCATTGCTATAGTCGATAACTACTGCCTTAGCCCCCCAACACATGATGATTATGTGAGTCGATGCAGTAAAGCCGATCGACGACGGACGTATTTGAAGATAATCTCTTGTGATAGTTTTGTCTCGTCTTCATCGCTATTGTAGAAATGGTACAACTTGTGTCGCTCACTAATAGGACCCCTAAAGGTAGGAGACTCTTAGTGTTTAGGCAGCCAGTAAAAGTGATTTTTTTTTCCGTGTAGTTACTTAATAGCGTATAGTTGATTTAAGAACAAAAGAGTTCCTTACAGAACCATGTGAAACGAAGGACAAGCCATGTGGTTAATCTGTATTGTGTGTGAAAAAGTGATTGAAGCTCTAGCCATAATTACTAGTATAGCGTTACAAGCGTATACGTCAGTATTAATAAAAGCAAACACTGCGACATAGTTAGGACACGTTGCTGATAAGGATAAATCTTGGAAGAATTGAAATAGTATCTAAGTATCAATATGGACGAAATAGGCTTTTTTTTTTTATTCAACTGTACTGACTACTTTTCAAACTACGAATTTAATAGAGCATATTCTCTGTGCTTATAATTCCTGAAGCAATTTAAAGACACCTACGTTTATGGTCGGCATTGCCGTGCGTGTTTCAAGTATTATAAAATGCAACTTCCGTTACGTGAGGTGCGTTCATAGGATAATTATTGAGAACTATGTTCATCCCATCCCCTAATTGTCATAGTGTTGTCTGCCAAGGAGAACTTAACTAAATGCTATGATGGTTCTGCCGGCGATCGCCTTTAGGCGTCGTAGTCGATGGCTGGTCTTCAGTTTCACGAAAACTATCCTTTAGCGCATGCGCAATTCACAGGCCGGCCTAAAGTTCGTCTACAAATGTACCAGCATTAAAGCAGCACGGCGATTTCGCTTTCTGAAGATAACATCAATGCAAAATCACCGATGGCTCTGTGCCCGCTCGTATTGAAACAGCCTGACTAGCGACTTAGCGGACAGTACGACGCGTATGGAAAGGTAAAATCTTCCCGCGGAGTTCGACTTCATCGAACGATTTCGAAACTACTGCTTTGCCTCGTTACCTGTAGAGATGTCCTTTGATTTCACAGCATTAATAGAATGTCCCTCAGTAAACGATATTATTCAAGAACACCGATACGCAATATAGCATTTTCTAGTATCTCGTTCAAGCTCGTTGAATACCCACTCCAGTAGAAGAAAGGAAGTGTTTCTCGATAAACTTGTGGTAAATATCAACGGTGTATAGGTGAGAAAGCGGTCATTTCTTATCGTTAACAATCACTTAGATGGTAAATCGGCAAACATATCATATTAGTTGACCTATACGCGGTCTGAAATTCAAGTTGTTATCGTTGTAACCGAAGCAATGTCTACTAACAAACAATTTTTTTCCATATATTTGAAGTTGCAGTAACTTGACGTTCAATACGGCGTCAGCATGATATGGTAAGGCTATTATGGAAGATGCGCGAATCGGGAGTCCTCAGTGGAGAACATGTTGCAAGTAGCACGACGACTGTTGTTATCTAAACTATGTCCTGAATCAAGTATGCCGTCCATCACATCTGACGAAAATCTGTCACCGTTTCTAATATAAAGCAAATGAAGAGGCGATACGACCTCACGAGGTAAAGCGACCTCAGAAATGGTAGGTGGCAAGGAACGTACCCATCTTTGTTCCGGTTGACTACAATAGACGAACGCCTCAAAACGAGTACCAAGCGAACGCTACAAATCGTCGGTGGACAACAAAAAAACATTTTCATCGATGGGAACTCGTTAGTTGCCTTCGTACCGAAACGTACTGTGTATGGGTTTGTGCATCAGGTTCTTTATCCGTATGCACTAGCAGATTTGTAGAATGAATTTCGAAGCATGTTTGACATTGCAAGCCTTTTTTTTCCCACCCTGCGTCCGTAGCCGACCCGTAATCCGTCTCACTATTCTGTTTTCTCTCACAGTCTAGCATACGACTTCCATGACAGTTCTGCCAATGACAGTAATAATGATATCTGCCAGTGACGCTGAAATTTCTCTCAAGAGGCGCCACCAAAGCGTTTTCCAAAGGAATTGCGTAAGGACAAGGCCGAGCGTGAGTACCTCACGGATCCCATACCGTGGTGCCCGAAGTCGTGCACTGCGAAGCAATTCGGGCCTTCGGCCCGCCAAAAATTAAGAAAACAATACGGGCAGGGAAACACCCAGAGATTACGCACGATAGATCATCATCATCATCGTCACAATCATTTTACTAGTTTTCATTGACCATTTTTTAATTCGCTGTACGGAGGCTAGCCTCCTCTCCATCCACATTCGCTGTGTGTTCTTTACATTGTTATCGGCCAGTCCGACGTCGCTTACTCGATTAAATCCGTCAAAGATCTTATATAGAAAAGTGTGTATTTTACGGACAAAGGAACGGAGACGGTCGATCCTCTTTACAACTGTCTACAATACCATGTCTACGTAACATTATCGCCTTATCACTAAGTCGTTGAAATTGCAAACCAGGACGAGGTCGTAGAGAACTATTTCTGTTTCATGCTCCGTTCGCCAAGCTGAGTATTATTGATGGTGTACTAGCGACAGTGGTAAATGCTGGTGCAAGAGCATGCGAAATGTGGAAAGGGCTTCGGTGGCAAGTCATTCAAACGCTATCAGAATAATATAAAGATCCATTGCTTGATTGGTCAAGAGACAGAAAACATTTTTACGGGTCTCGTTTCCTGCTGTTCGTAGCAACTGTTACGCAGTTACGTACTTGAGTGGACGTAGTCTAAGGTTTCCGACAGCTGTACCACAGACACGAAAGCAGTGTCAGTATTGAAAAGATATCACGATAATCGTGGTAACAACGACATTTCCGCACCATCTCTAGTGCCGCCCCGCGGAACTGGGATCGATTAGTGCTTTCTGCGATGTTCTATTACGAAGGACTACACCTTAGCGTCACTTATACAGGGTCCAAGACCTATTTTTATTACAGCTGCATTGGCTCATCGTGTTATTGGTCCTATTCTACTTGTCTGATTCTATTTTCCATTTAAGCATTGGCCGTTTCTTGCTGCGTTTTCAATAACTTGTTTACGGCCACTACAAGCGACGCAACGGCCGACCGCTGCCCCTGCTGCTAGTATCACAGGGAAGCCGGGTAGAGCAGTGACGGAAGCTGGCTACGTAGAATGTCACCACGATTCTGTTAGTCGTAACAACGCCGGCCGCAGTGGTCATTCTTAGCGTTTACACATGATAGTGGATATTGTAGACAGATCTAACAAAGGGTCTACGAGGCGGAAGGGAAAATCAACTGCTAGCCATCTAATTGTCAGGAAAGCACTTCCAGCTCTGTATGTTGTGTCATTTTTATAGGGTTTCGCTTGTCATAATCGCTTTTATATCTCAATAGCTTCGGGGAAGTAATTTAGATAATTTGATGGTGATGATGATGATGATGATGATGATGATGATCGGCCCGGATAAAATCCGTGAAGTGGAGGTCAGTCACTTATGACAACGCAATGGTCAACAGCGGAATACCGCGTACCGCCCAGCTGAGATCTTCGTTCACGTCCCATTCACCAGCTAATCACGAACAAGACGGATTGTTTACTGCATTCAAATGTAGTACGCCTAAGAAGAAACCTGCACACCCCCTTCCCGGCACGTCTAGGGCCCCTTTGTAAACATCTGCAATGGACATATTACATGTTTACGTATTGCAGTCTAGCTAGCTGAGAGTGTTAATAGTCCGCGTAGGACGCTCTTGCCTTTCCTACCTTCGAGAACCATTGTCACCCTAATAATAGCAACCACGAAGTTTCAATGATTATATATAGGATATTAAAGAAAAATACGTTTGTTCATTGAAGGAGACTGGTGACTGTGTTTTGACCGACCGGTGCTTGTCTCTGTGTTATGCTCTGCGTGTTGTGACGCTAAACTTTCAGGGTTTGTATTTTCGTGTAAAATCGATTACTGCTGATACTACAGAACCATGCATATGTATAAACGTCTAACGTTCGAGCAAGCGTAATGCAGTGCCGATATCGTCTTTTATAGGTGATAGCGTGAATTGGACGGTGGGTGACTTCTGGGAGACAACAGAATGGCGCTCTGGTATAATTCGGCTATGAGTTGAGCTACGAACCAATCAGTATGACATGTGATGCTAAACGGTGGAACAATCTACCAAGATTCGTTTTTAATGTGCCTAAAAAAGCTTCCGGAAAACTCAACGTGAACGGAAGAAAATTATACGTCAGTTTAATTGCTATATTGAATCGCGTTGGTGATTTGGCGGTAGCTGGTTATTGAAGTAAGATACGAAAGTAGTATACGATACATCTGCGGTGGTCAGAAAAGCGGGCCACATGGCTGTTCGGGCTATGCCCATGAAGGGACATTAGAAAAAGATTACACCAAGCATCGTCGTTTGTGCATTGTAAAATCCGACTATGGAAGTTCAATAGACATCGACGACAAAATACTAAATCAAGTACCCCTTCACCTACCCGCCCTGTAGGAGAATCAGTCTCCATAGATTATGCCACATCCTTGGCAGTTGCCTGTTCTTGACGACGCGATATACCCAAAGGAAAATCAACTTGACGTGTGACAAAAAGTAATGACATGAGTGAGTGAGTGAGTGAATTTTTCGCCCTGCGAAATGTCATCTGTCACCCGACTAAAATGTAAACGTATTAGTCCTTCGGGTGCGGATCTCCCCTAGATTAGCAACGATTAAAGTGAACCGCCATTTCTTCGTTCAGAGCAATTGCCCAATGAATACCCCTAGCTCTGACTTAATCACCATTTGGCACCACTTTCTGCCTAGCGTTTTTGGCTTTTTACTTCTTTGCACAAGATTATCAACTCGTTAACTTAAGCCAGCCGTGGGTCATCATCATCCATTGAAGCGGATCGGCAATCAAAATCAGCGCGTATACAACAGGCACGATTTCGTGTGGGGCCTCCCCTTTCAACCCATTCGATTGACCGGGGCTGTGTCAACTTGCAAAAGTCAACGTCCACTCACTTCGATGTCGTACGACATTACGCGTTAGCAAGTTAATCACCGTGAGGAGACGTTTGCGGTAGATGGCGCCACTGAAAAAGAAACCCTACCGATTTTGTCTTCGTGGCAGTCACTACTTGACTCATGTGATACGGCCGTTGTTGTGCTGCTTTATCAACGCTAATTAGGCTGTTTGTTTGGGCCCTATTAATGAAACCGTCGTGGCATAATTCTGCCGTAAGGAGAAGAGACGATGGATAAACACAGAGCAATAGGCGCATCTTTATTTCGGTAGCATAACTGGAAAATCAAGAGGAAGAGAAGGAACAGTGCAGCCGAAAGCAAAAAAAAAAATCTGTCTAGGCGATAACTGTTCTCAACATAAACAGATAAACAGGCCGTCAAATTGATACATGTATAAGGACACGTAGAGAGAGAATTGCGCTTGTGCTCGGGAGCCATGTACGGTAGCGTTAGGCGGGCGAACGAGAATCGTGATTGCCACGACCAGCAAGTATGTATCAGTTGAAATATATCAGCTTCTGGGTGCCAACGATATATACGTCGCCGTTTGCTTTTCGTGTTATGTCACATACACTAATCACGCTTTTCGCAGGTCAAAAATGGCTTTTACGTATATTTAGCAGAGGTTGTACCCATTTGACGATGGACCTGAACCTGTCAAATGCGATATTTCACTGGAGTGACTAACGTTCAAATTTTTTTTTTACGGAAACTTTAGGACTTTTAGGACTTTAGGAACTTTTACGGAAAGCTTTACGGAAACTTAGTTTTTGCTTTAAACTATATTCTTTTTTGTCGTAGATGTGAAGTTCATACATTAACTTCCGACAACGTTTCTATTCTTTCCATCACGTTGAAATGCCCTGGTAAGAGTTATTTGCTCATTAATTATTTTGGCGTTGCTGTTTACCCCCCCCCCCCTCGCCCCTTCACCAGCATGTTGATTGGCTTTAAAGAGCAAACGGATTAGACCCACATAATCTTTCCTAACCTAGGAAAATCACAAAATATCTTACTTAATTGGAATTCATTTAGCATGTCTAACTGAGGAGCACCAAATCGGGTCCGAGCTGTAGATCCGTAGATTTGGAAGGACACACCTAGTCTTAAATGAAGTAAGGAATTGTCAGCGAGAAAGGACGTTCCAATACCTTAATTAGTGAAGCGGCCTAAGATGCGGAACGACTGGAAGTCACAGCTGATTCAAATATACACTTCCTTTCTAATTTCGCTATTTGTTCACCCACCGCGGAATAGATAGTGATTTCGATTTTGAAGATAATTTAAGCATTAAATTTATGTAAAAACGTAGGAAAGTGGTCAAAGGTTGGATATTTTATGGGTGAAACACGGCTAGTTTCGTTAAGAAACATCAGAGGTACAAATTAAATGAATCCAATTTAACCTTATCATTATGCTAATAGATATAATAGCGACTTGTAGCCATAAGAGGAGACACTGATGACCTTTCAGGAAAGCCTCTGTTTGCATTGAAGGAAAGCTTATGTTGTATAATTTTCGAGCATACGTTGTTCCAGTTAGCAACGTCACTATATACCCACCACGGATACCGCCGTCTTGTTATTATTATGTTAGTTCTAAATGCTTATAGGCATAGTGCTTGAACGATTTGTCTATACAGCGCGAAAGTATATAGTTCTATTATCCGTGTTATTAGCACCTCAGCGCATACGAAAGCTTCGCCGTAGAATAGCGTTAAGCATGACTAGATGTATCTGTATTTCTGTTGTTTGTACGTCAGTAAACAAGTGTCGGTATATGAAGCTCCATGAATTCTTCGTCAGCTTCTTCGTCAGTAGATTAAGTAAGCAAGTGAAGATGCAATCAGTAGTCAACGATCCATAACGTATTTTTTTCTTTAATGCGCGAGCTCAACCAATATAGTCTTGCTGGTTAATTTACATATGTTCCGAATGGAATCGGAAACGAGCTCGTGAAAGGCGATCACGAATTCGATCGTCAAAAATCGTGGTCTGTATTCGATTTCCAAGCACTTCCTTGAAGTAGGGTCACACGGCTCTGTTAAAGCCTCTAACAGAAACGGGTTTGCTGAGAGTCATCTTGTTTGTGGTAAGTTTTCATCTTCTGTCTGTATTAGATGATATATAACTGACAGGGGTGTTACCGGCTGCCATTATCGTATCATGCGAGAAGCAAGAAAACTGAAAAAGCAAGAAAACAGAAGTTCATAGCACGATGTATAACTTTGTAACCACTACCTTTCAAGTAAATGTATCCTAGAGCAAAATGGCTTTGCAATTATAATTGCGTCTGTTTTTAGTAATGTCTAGGTTTTATCGATCGTGCGAAAATGCCTTGTTTGTCATCAGGATTAATTCAAACTTTTTTACAGAATGATAGTGGGACCTATCTTTTCCCAGCTGTAAACCTACTATTTGCTTCCATGTACGTTGTATGGTAGCTAAACTTGACGATCATCGTGTATATAATAATATTCAGTAGGCTCATGATAGAGATAAATGCAATAAAGCGGCCAAGCGACTCAACGACAAACACATTTCGTCGTGAGTTCATCCTTAAATGAGCCTAAATGAGCTGCGTCATTTCCGAGTGAGTCGAACACCCACTTCCATCCAATCCCAGGACTAACTCAATGCCTGTAATAGATCCACACGTTACTCACCTCATGTTCGTACGCTAAAATAGGACAGAGTCAGACGGACACTTCGCGTACATCAACGAAGCCGCTACTATACCGCACAGCCGCTAGAGCGCGCTTCCGCGACTCAAAATTACACCTGCGTCGTGAAGTTTAGCAAAGCGTAGTGCTGTCCTTCAGCTCAAACGATTTCAGGATACCTTTCAGTGCTTGTTCAATGAGCGGTGCTTGTTCAATGAGCGCTGAAGACTGAATTCCCCGTTTAAACTAATCACGGTGTTCTGAGAATAACGCAGCCAAATATAACTGAATTACCCCAGTCAGATTGATCATTGCTTTTCTATCAAAACGATATCCATCAGAAATATATATATATATGTACATCAGAACAATAAATATACATCAGAAATAAAGATATATGCTTGAGATGGATACTCACCGTGGTGATGTCATTTCTGGTTGAGCTGGAAGTAAATCGCCTTGGAATATCTTAAATTCAACATGCTTTCAACCATCTTGTTTATATATGAGTAACATCGATGAAGAACACTTCCACTTAGGGGACTTTCATCTAAACGCTTACAATGTCCTGTAGTACGTTTATAACCAAAGCTTTACACACATACTGGACTGACTGTCTTTAATATGAGCTGAAGTTCAAATGTTACATTGCGCCACACCTAACTATAATCTGAGTTATAACTTTCTAATCTAAAAGTAGGTAATATTAAGTTTAGCCGCAATTCAACATTGGCGCTTGAACACCATCGGGTCAGGCGGAGAACGGCACAGATTAGCCCGATCAGCTCGCAATAATCACAATATAGTTACCGTTTTGAGTACGTCTCTGCAGTTCACCCTGGATTGAAGGGTCCGATTTGAACATATTATATACAAAGGATTTTTACTTTTTCAAAAAAAGTTACCCATGCTCAGTTAATTTGAAGTAGAAATCAAAGAAAATACTTGCAAAAACCTTCCAAAATGTTGTGCTACGCAGCAACATTTGCAATGAATCTATTTATAGAAGGTTTTTAGACGGATGTAAAGAGAAGATAAAAAAAGAAAAATTGAATAGCAGATACTACTCAAGCAGCTATTGGGACTACATTGGTAATAATAATAACAGAGGTGCTTATGTCAAACAACTTCTCACTTACTTTGGTCTTGGCTCTTTTTCTTTGGAAGTTCAGTAATATAACAACAAAAAAAAGTTGTTCTAAGGATTTTCCAGCTGCCTCTGGCGTTATACTGCGCTGAAAGTTTACATTTCAGCCTGGGCAAAGTACGGGTGACGTTCCTGCCGGTTTTCGAGCGGAAAACAGGATCAAACACAATTTCGTATAATCCTATTTTCCGCCTAAACATTTTACGCATGAATTGTAATATGAAAATGTTAGATAAATGGCACCCAGTGGAGTAACTCATGCGGTATCTTGCCGATATATACGTACGCTGTTGCGACATTTGAGCCCATCTTAAAGTTCAGATGCTGGGATCGGAATGGTATTGAGGTTTGCACTTCGAGCAAATGCTGATGGAACCATTATGCCATCAGCAGCAATCACCGTGGATTCGCTACTGCTGATGTCCACGCAGATTCAACCCACACATCTCTTGCGACGCAAACCGAAACACTATGTAGCTTTATAAACATAGCCTATAGACATGTATCGTAATCGATATATATTGATTATTAGATGTTTCAACAAAGATACATAGATGCATTGTAGCTTTCATTGGGTCATCCATCTTGACACTATAGTGACCGGTGCCAGTTATTTGAATTTGTCGCCAGAATTTTTTTACCATGCATCTGGCAGGACTTTGGTAGGTAAAGTTGGGACATTTTATTTTCATCATGATGTAAGAGCATAACTTTGATGAAGATCATTCGGGCAGATAGGCGGGACGGAGATGTCCCATAGAATAAATACCCTGTTTATTTCCCAAAGCTGACGCCACTGGACTCTTTGTGTGCTAGTTATTTGAACTATAAACTTTACGCCAGAATGCCAACGAGATTCAAAGATCTGAAAGCCACAATTGCGCTACGACATCATATGGAGTATTTCTTAAAATTTGTAAATCAATAACCCATAACCAATGTACTGACCAGAACGGTAATCATCTTGGACAGCTGGGGTAAAAGGAAAAGCTTTGCATTTGCATACATAATTTTAGGTAAATAAAGGCCCAACTTATAATTGTTCCAACTGACACGCTATACACGGAACAGGGTTTGAATTCCAAAAAGGTCATCAATGTTTCTAAGTACGTAATCAAACATTACGGAACAATTCCTTTATAATAAGATTATCGCAGAGCGGAACACAATAGATTTTTGCTTTGAACTGGAAGGAAATTTCAAAAGAAAACAGATAACAATGTTAAAACTGCACAATCTCGTAACTAATAACAAAAAATTTTCAAAGAGTAGATAGGAAAAAAATCTGCATAGACTGTATAGTGTGTGTGTGTGTGTGTGTCTATATATATATATATATATATATATATATATATATATATATATATATATATATACAAATAAGAAATTTCAGATACAAGTTAGGAGGTGACCTAAGATGTAACAGTTACGACTTTGTCAGGTAATGACAGGCGACGCAGCTTGTTAATAAGACACTCTGGGATAAGAAAAAAAAATTTAACTATACTTTGACTATATCTGGTATGTGATTTTATTAAGCGCAATGGGCCGCTTAATATCTTTGTTGCAGCAAAACGAACACAACCTAACCATCTGTCGACATAACCCAATACTCTTGCACTTACTTTGACAAAATTGTGTACTTTCCACTTTTAATTTAGTACACATCATACTAAGCAGTTAAAGCGCAGATGCAATAAAAGATATGTGGCAAATACAAATAATAAGTGAAGGTGTATCCATTGTTTTATAATGATGGATGGTTATTGTCAAGGATAAGCTTGCCGTTCAATGCGCTATATTGGCTGGAAGCCTCAGCTCTGAGAAGCGTTAGTAGATACTTAAGCAGCTCTCGGTGAGCATTTACAATACAGAACGGCCGTTTCGAGCAAATAGCAGATTATGGATTTCGGGACGTTTCCGTCATCTAGCTAAAATATTTACAAAATCCAAAATAGACTCGAAGAGACGCGATCCGTGTGAACTATTTTGAGCGCTAATTGACGGGCAGCTGTCACCGATAACTAAGCTCATTTCGATACCTCAATGTACAAGAAAAACGGTGATTGAGATAGTCCGTCCTTAAATCTGGAGTGAAAAATCTGGAGAGTGGTTTGCTACGGCTTTCAACGTTGACTGATTATAATTCTATTAAAACAAAGTAGTAAAATTTGATAGAACTAAGTATAGCTTTCTGTAGCAATGAAACGCCGTCATTGTCTTAAGTATTTCATATGAAGATACCGTTTGATTACTGATTAACAATTGGATCGGCTCAAAGTTGCAGTTTAAGCGGTTTTGCTTTACAACAAAAGATCAATGGGGCCGCTGCATACTAAAAGTACCCCGCGATGTCAGGAGGACACTGTTTCGCCCAAACTAACAAGACTGCCATAATGTTCAGTGATATTTTTTTTGTCAGAAAAGCGAGTATCGATGTACTAAAAGGTAGTAACTTTATGCGCGTTTATGCGCAGTGAACAGTTATCCTATGAGTTCGATGTTGTCCCAACGAAGCTTCGCAAGGTGTACTTCTTCTCTAACGGAAATAACACTGATATATTCTCAGATTTTGAATAATTATTAATAAAGTACTTTATTGTTATAGAAAATAACACCTTTTATATCGTTCCCAGTACTTCTATTCGTACCTATAGATATTTCTCCGCTCGCTGGCAAAAAGATCTCCTTAAGCAAAGATCAAAGTAAGAGCAGATCGATCGAAAGTCTTACATTATTGGTTCTGTTCAATTGATCATTACTTGTTATGGTATCTGTTATTGAATCTATTGACCCACTATAATAACAATGGCGTTTATCAGCGCTGTCAACTGGGTACTCGTTGTACTTTGCTGTAATTTTTTTTTTGTCTCTGTGGTTGGCTAACGAACGCCTTATCAGCGACAAATGCTTCAGCCACTCGGTATCAGCCGTCACAGAGGTAATTTCTCAGAACAGTGTGAACAGATATTTGTTGATACGTCAGTTGGCTGGTGATAGTTTCCCTGACTGCTGCTTTTGCTACTACCAATGTGTTACGTCGTGACGCTTCGTTAATTGACAGAACGTCTGATAGACTCACCGGATAACTCTGATCGATTATGCGCCTTCACACACACGCATGACGCGTCTATCAGAAACAATTCGCCAGGATCTGGCATTGGCACTTCAATAAAAGCCGAGAGATGCATGTTAAATGTGTATAGTAAAATAAAAATAATCATCACAGGCTAAGCTCTTCTAGGTTAGGTCAACCTTGAGTCCAACTGATATTTAAACTCTATTCATCTGAATGTATTCATCATATATATATATATAGCAGTATTGCGTATACTGACTATGTTCATGGCGTTGGTGAAGATATAGTTGCCACATGGGCATAACATACAATGTGTCCTAGCTAGAAAAATGTTTGTTAAAAATAGTTTCTACAATGAGAATTCCGCTGTCTTCTTCACTTGATCATTTTGACAGGCCATTGGCTGCACTGCTACCTCATGGTGAGCAACAATCCGATTACTGTAGCTGAAATCGGAAAGGCTTCCGCTGGAAATCCTCAAGCCACGTTCGTTGCAATCTTCTTTAACATTCATTGTGAATGAACAACCTAGGCAGTGTGGAAATGTAGCGAAAAAGCCCGCATTTACATCCTCGGCCGTTGATTTCGATCGACGTCTCAATTCTGCAGTCGCGATGCTGTCAAACGTACCCCTCGACCTTTCAGCGACACACATCAAAGGAGTGTCCTAATCTATTGTTCTCCTAAAGGTTTTCTATCTTTCCCTTCATACATGTAGACGTATTGGTTATGCTCTTGGGATGCTATCAAGGCTTAAGGGTTTCTCGTTTCAAGTGTCCACACTTTTTTTCGGTTTGAAGCGATTTCCCCTTACGAACAGATAGAATCTAATGATTCAAACGCGTTTTATTTGTGGGAAGATCTCGCAAATTTTCAAAGACTAGTGACAATTCCTTCTTACATTTCAAGATGCTCCGATGTCCAACGAAAATGGTTGATCCAAATTCATTTGGTGCATACATTTCCAATCTGCCAACGAATCAGCATAAGTTGGCCATTACAATTCCTATACCTGATAACTGAAGATTAACAAAATGTAAAGTTTGCGCGACAGCAACAAAACAACAATCGTAGGAAATATATAGTAAAGCACCATGGATTCCTGTTTTAGTTCGGCAAACGAAGCTGAAATCCTGCAAAGTTTTTTACTCTCAAACGAGAAACAGCATTCTCAGAGTCAACCATCCATACTGTCCTTCTGATGGTAACGACAACAACATCAACACATGAAGGGAAGACCGAATATGAAATTTAAGGTCTTGCTCGCTCTTTTTCTAGCAGCTTAATTCTTAACATTGACTAGAAGCATATCCTGTCTACAACTGAAGACATCGTTTACTTTATAGAGTTTCAGAGACATGGCTTACTACACGCGCATGTGCTAATCTCCCTAAATGAAGCTAATAAACTTTGCCCCATCAAACATGTTGGCCAAATGATCTTTGCTAATATTTCAGAGCCCGGCGTAGATCTACGCCTGTACAGAATTGTAAGCAATACGATTGTTTACACGTACACCCCCCTGAACCATGTATTTCTATTTTGCAACTGAACGATATACACGGACGCTGACTGTCTAATGCAACTGGGGTGACAAAAGACGACCGTCACGAACGGCCAACTATAACCGGATAACGTATTTCGCTAACAGATGCAAATATAATATTGCCACACCTATTAATGCTACCATGACAATATTCATGTGGAAATTTCCAAAGTTATAACGACAGTTACACACACACTTGCAAGTATCTATTCAAAAATCAGATGATATGGTCATAAGCATATCAGTGATTATGAAAATATCTCAGATTATAATAAAATGAATCACTTCGTAAGCGTCAGACTGCGTTCAAGATTGGAGGTATTGTGCTGTCCAAAACTGCACACCTTCTGGCACCGCGAAGAGATGAAGTCGCATTAGTCGTCTAGCTAAAACTAAACAAGTGCCAGCCATAACTTCGCACTTCGTTACGAGAACTAAATAGACACTGTCGATAAAGCTTAATCTTCAAGTAGTCCACTCAATACATACGTCTGCCCTTAAAGGTTTGTATGCAACACAAGTGAACAGGAACCTTCGGCCATTTCGATCACACCTTCACAGACCATGATCGATAGTCGAATTGTGTACCATCAAAAACCACATAAAAATTAGCTATGCACAGGCTGCAATAACACGTCAGTCACTAGAAGTCATTCGCACTTTGTACGAGCGGTCGGACAAGAAGTTGACTTCGAGTTTTCAAACTTCGTAAGTTACTTACTTTGACCATTGTAGGTTAGAACGATCCTGAATTTGCACGTCGACTCTGGACTGTGTTCAACGATCACCTCTGCGAGGATTTTATCTGTGGTGGCTATTCCATCAGATCTTGTTTTCCTCAGATTCAACATTGATTGAGAGCACTTAGCAGTCGATAGAGCAACTTTAATTCTCCCCCACTCGAATAAATGCTTCTGATACCAATCGTCGAAGTGGCATTGGATGATTTAGAAATGTTAGCTTGCAAAAGCAAAGATGGAGGGTGACGACCAAATCTAAACGACAAGCAAGGTGCAATTTCCGAGAAGCATCTAAGTAAGTTAAGAACGCTTAATCCTTGTTAATCCATAAACGTCGTTTCTATGGCCTACACAGGCCTTTCTGTTCGATTGCTACCTGCCGATCAAACGATTTATTCGGCATAAACAATTCCTGTGTTTTTTTTTTTGCCGAGGATTAGAAATATAATACGATACGTCACAACCAGAATATCAGCTTTTGATCCTTCAAAAACTCAATCCTATTAATTTATGAGATCAAAAAAAAACACTATAAACGACAGGCCAATCGATACAACATGGGCAGTTTGGAATTCATAAATTTTAATCTTCCTTTTAACGGCAAAACCGTTGTCCTTAGAGGCGAATTTGCCAGCTGTTGCCAATCAACGTCGAATTCGGTATTCCGGATGGTATTCGGATGACCCACTGGTCGTCTGTCTTCTAGAAAAACATGGAAAAAAGTGAACACCAAAATGAAGAAAGAAGGCTTCATTTTGTTAATTGTTACTGCGAGCAGGCAACGACGTTAGTACAAATAAAAATCCTGCCGATACAGCTTTTATTCCTACACAACACGTTACAGGAATCAGGTACACCCATTAGGTTGAGCATGAGCTAACTACTCGTCCAGCTGAAGAGGCCATATTTCGTAAATCACTCCCCTTCGAACAAGCGAACCAAATGATCTATCGTGCTAACCTCAGACTGAAACACTATTGTTCTGAAGACTAACGGCGACATCATCATCATAAACGTTCTTAAAGGAGAGTGAAAACCGTACGAAAATTAGAGCTCTTTAAAAAAACATCAGTTGGCAATGGTGGATACCGGATTACTAAACACCTACCCTTAATCCACGAAGGGTCCCTCCACACGAACGACGTCATAAAGGGTATTCGTGTAACTGTAAAATGACCCCTATAATTGGCGATCTTTCTTAACTGGCCCCAAGGATATGTGCGCATACAGATCAAATTGCTAATTACTTGATTGCCATGGCTGTTTTTAAGAGTCAGGGACAAATATTCGGCCATGTTGGAGTAACTTAGATAGCTCCGTATTCGTTTACCTCTGCACAAGGGTTCACAGTCAATATCGACAGTTTAGAAAGATGAAATTGCTGCTTCCTTCCTCATGAAGTCACTGAATCTTTGTACATCCGAACATTCAGTATGGCGGTGTTGCAGGATAGACCCAGAGCAGTCAAACTCCGTCGATAATACGCCAGCTCGTGAGAACATTTCTGCGATAAAACGGACAGTCACCCAAATTACCGCGTAGTGATATGTACATATATTAGCAATATTCATGTATATGTCGTTCTTAAAAAATAAAATTTTCATATTTTTTATTATACGATGGTACATATCTGTTTTATCACCTATAATCCTTACGTGAAGAGCTACTATACTAAAAATGCTACATTATTTATATTCATGTTACACAACCGATTTGTACTACATTTACGCGTCCTTAAATAGTATATCACGAGCGATACTATCCTAGAGTTGGCCGCGTTTGCCCATTTCATTAATTACTATGCCCATCCCAAAATATCGCAATATCATACCCGTTACGACTGAAGTTAAATTTTGAAAGCGCTAAAACAGTAGCGTCTGCCCGTGGTATAACATGGTCTCGTTTCTATTCTTTATAGATAAGTTTCACAAGTCGCAAATCACAAATTGTTAGCCTATCTAATACGCAGGTAATGAACATATAGCTTGTGGACCATATTATAATGTGTCCATAATAACAAGGTCACACAGAATAAAAATGTGTAGGCAGCAATTAAGGTAGGCACAAGATGTATAAGGTCACCTTTAACATTAATAGCCGGATAGCCTCTACGTATAGCCTACCTGTTCCACGCAGTATTGATCTGACTTTACTTATGAACGAATTTTAACGGTTACTAGAATTGAAATTGTTTTGTTTTGCCCAGTACTGCTCATTGGCCCTGTAATCGTCTACACCGGCTGATTATTGAAAACTCGGAAATAATTTTCTATCGTCCGGTAAGGTCAACGTTATCTGCTCCGCTGTAGAAACTGCCGTCTTTTGCTAATCAGCTGCAGGTCATCTACTCCACGATATTCGTGTAAGGTCTTCGGTCGACTCCGAGCTTCCATTGAACAGGTTTAAATATGATTGCACCCTCGGCCGTTTTTTAGAGGGCCTGCTGCCCTCTAAAATGAGCTGGTAGATCCAAAGTCCATTCAGTGGTAATAGCCTCTAGAAAACTATTCCAATTTTCTAAATTCAGCTATCGCAACAAGCTGATAATACGAGATGGTCAGATTTCATTTTAATTATATTTCACTGACAAACAACTGTACTAATAACAATGGAATTGAACAAAAGATCGACTAAATAATACTTATTCTGTTATAAAAGTTATATATCTTGATAAATTGCCACACAGATTACGCATGTCCTCAACCCAATTTTCCATTTTGCTCTTAGATGGGCGCATTATGTCGTCGTTGCTTTTGTTTATAACAAAAACAAATAATCACGTGTCAATATTTGTCTGCATAGTAACGAGCGCGTAACAATCGACTAGTGGTAGACAGAATCAATACTTCGCCAGAGTTATCGAAACGCTAGTTTGTATCACTCACTAGTCGTATTCGATTCAAGACCTTATAAAAGCCATCACGAAGTCAGCGACAACCCAGAAGACTAAATACGTCGCTTATAATTTATGACGGGTGTTTGCTAAGAAGAAAAACAAAAAGCCAGCCCGTTTCGCGTGTCTTTCACGGCGCTGTTTTTCTCGGTATCCGCTGATCATCTGTCTGCTCTGATCCTATTGATTAGGCTTAACTGTTTTCGTGATCCATAGCTACCTATGTCCATGCGCTTGTCAACACGGTTAGGTTCAATCGTTCCGCACGTTTCAGATATCACTAATGATACATATAATATAGTACTCGACAAACATACTACATATGACGCTCGTAGGCTATGAAGATCAGCAGCAGTAGCCCAACGATCGCTCGGTCGGTTACGTTAACATGCGACACGCGTACAGATAACGAAGGAGCAAGAAAAGAAGAGTAGTTAGCATCATCATTATCATCAAAAGTCAGAAACAACAGTTGGACGAAGAACTTGCCAAGCGAATTATATTTTAATTAACTTTCTCTCGTTTAGCGCTTTTCGCATCTGATTGTTGTCACAGGGATGTCGCTGGCTATGGCAGCTTTATGTACTTTATAGCGCGGTAGTGATTATGATGACAATAACTGCCTATGAAAATGATTTTGTTGAGTAGGGGGGCTAGAGGCCAAGAAGATATGCCCATGCACCATCTCTTAGGTAACATCGCGGGGCACCGTGGCGTCGCCTTGTTAGCCCTCGCGCCTGTGTTGCCTGTGCTAATTGGAAAGTGAGTGAGTTCTGTAATATATATATATATATAAGAAGATCTTGTACTAAAATGGTAAAAAATGCTCGTAATCTATGGAAGACAAGCTTAGGCTTAACGTTCTGTGACTTAATTTTTAAACGAACTTTTGTTTATTAATGCGCCTTAAATAATCAATCAGATTAAATTTTCCTTATATGAAACGTACGACATGTTAGCATAATTAGGGAGGCCTTCAAAGGATTACGTTACGCTCGTCAAAGGCTGCCCGTATTACCCCATAGTATATCTGGCTGCTTTCTAAAATGGTATTGAATTATTCCAGTATTATACTGAGATGGATTGAAGCGGTTCTACATGGCAATTAAGACTGCGGTACAGAAGGCCACTCAGCCTAATAATTGACACAAAGAGCACTAGATTTCCCGCTTCGCTCAAGTGCCTGCACAGGTCAAAGGCTTGGCTTAAACGTCACTCAATTACGCTAGCAATAGAGTAGGCGAGCTATCATTATATCGCGACTTGTAGGCCTATCCGCTTCCGTTACTACGTCTCAAATAGAATAAACTCTACTCTCAAATTAACCTACATATAGTTTACTTTAGCTACCACCCTCCTTCGTCCCTTGGCGAAAAACCGTAGGTCGATTGCTCGTATCAGCCCGTCAGAGGGTTTCAGCAGACTGAAGTTTAAAAAAATCACAAGTTAAAAATCCTAAAGTAATTTTAGCTGTTATGACTATATATGGCTTACGTAGGTCGTGCATTATGAAACTATGACAGACTGACTGACTGACTTCCTGGGCTATTCTGATGGGAAGTATAAAGACTCACTATTACTTCGAGACGAATTTCCTTGCGAGATATATGTTTAAAGCGGAGATAATTAACGAAATTATTATACATTACTACGTCATACTAGCCCGTTGTTCTATGATGGCTATGGGACAGCCGGCAAAATCAAACATGCGCTAGCTTCAAATATTGCTATAGTCACATGAAAGAGCTTGTATCATGGCCGCCTGCCCGCCCGCCCGCTCGCTTCTCATCCGGTTACAATGGCGTCCTTTTTGTCCGTTATTCCACGTGCTTCCTGGCTAAGACCTCTACGAACGAATTTTTAGAACTTTCCTATACATAGACCACTTATATTCGGCCAGCGACAACAGTAGCTTCGTCTGTGTCAATTTAGCTTGTCAACGTTACAATCGATAATATCTTGGGCTTGACTAGTCGATCGATGATAGCCGGTGCAACTTTTGGCTAGTAAGTTACGGCAAAAATTGAAGGAAGCATAGTAATTGGGTCTTCGTCAGTGTCGTTATAGAAATGGGAAAATGTTCGAGAAAGTAATTTTAGATCATTAGTTATGATTTAGTTAGTTAAAATGTTATCTGCCATGGCAGACGGTAATAGTAATTATGAGTTGAAGTCCATGGAGACTTCTCGCCTCCAGCACAGTGAAGTTGCTGGTTCGTAAAATCGTAGCAGCATCATTATTTAGCAATATAAAAAATATTATATTAAATAGGTTCATTTTTACTCATTATCTAATTATTTAATAATGTTTGTAGAATATTCTTACGCGCTTTGATAGGAAGCCAAAGTAACAATTGATTCTAACTGTTCTGTGAACTGTTTAAGCTGAACCGGAATATGTGTTGCTAGTTCGAATTTCGATATGTATTATTAAGCAAGATAATCCCTAGGGCTGTAGTCCATCCTGCTTTTGGCTTTTGTCAATAGATAAGGCCTAATAAAATTACTTTTAATAAAAGTATCCAGCACGATTATCCGATAATACCACAAGTAAAATATTTGCGAAATACTTCACTATAACTTAACTAAGTTTCCCCAAATATGGACTCTTTCTAGGTTTCAAGGTTTGGGTGAGTTCGTTTCAAAAAAATTGTACTCGTTAGGTGCGCAAAAAGAACTTAGAAGTTTTATATGTCACTGTGAATTCAAATTATTTAGACAAAAATCTGGAACACTTCGTCCAGATATTTGTGCACCCGATTTGGCCAATACGCCCTACACAGACGTATTTTAAGCAACCTAGTCATTTAAGTACTAATGTAATACATGTTATAGATCCGTGATCTAGAGTGGAAAATAGTCTAGACATGTTTATCTCTATTCCATATACAAGTTGGCATATATGCGTAGATACGGGCTAGGACACGCTATGCAACATCCTTGTAAATGAACGGTTGGCCTACTTTGTTTTTACATCCTTTGTGTCGTAATCATGATAAGACTTGCTGGCTCCTTTGAGGTAAACGTGCCCAAATTTGTGGAAAAGCCCAATATGCAAGCTTCTCACAGTATATCACTTCAGTAGCCGATGGTGACAAGACAATTGTTATCAGTGATGATACTATCTACCTCTAAGTCATGGACAGACTTTCTCTCACCTTGATATTTGTGGTTCCTAGTACTTCAATTCAATAGGTCAGTTAGTAGGTGTAGGCGCGAAATCTCAATTTGTTCATTATCCAAGCGCTTTTTTCGATTTTCTTTTCTTGCCACGCAGCTATTCCTCACCTCGTCGTCCTCGGCCTAGAGCTTACGGGCTTCTTGATGGTTACAGTCATGTACAACGCGTGTATGCGGTCATGGCACAGACGCAGCTTCCGTACAGATATATGCACAGAGGTCGTTTATCGAATAGAATATATACGACTGACGTTGCTACGCGTGTAAGCCAACTATTTCGCAATGAATTTTTCACGAAACGTCCCATGATGTCTTTGTTTCAACTTCAATGCCCCACGTTTACTGTAGTGTTTGTGGTATCCTAAATCGACAGTATACGAGGAACAGGTTACGGTGGCGTACAAACCGACCACAAATCCAGCGAGTTGACAAGGGCTTCTGCACATCCCGGCTCCCACAGACAAAGCTCGTTATTTATGCATAATACTTAAATTCGCTTGTATCCTCTCGCTTTTGCCCATTCCGGACTGTTGCAATTTCCCAGCATCCGTTACTTCGTTGGTAGAGATTTTGTTTTCAATTCGATAGTAGCCATCCTTTGAAGCACTCCCAGTTATTACAAACACAGTATTGTTGTGTATATCGTTTGCAATAAATTGGAAACGATATTTCTGCTGATAATTTACTTCGACAATGCAAAATAATGATGATGAACGTAGCCCCAATGAGAACCGAGCTGATGTACCCGATGTATTGATTACGTTCCATATTTTACTTTCTTTCCATCGCTAGGACCGATAAGATATCGTTTTTCGCAAAAAAAATAAAATAAAATAAAAGGAACCCAATTCAACGTGGTCATCTTTCGAGTAGAAAGATTTGAATTGTTTCTACTATCAGAATGTTAAAACAGCAGCCACAGCTTCATGCCAAATCTAGTTACGTAACGAAGAAATGATGGCAAATTACGCGCTTTGGATCCCTACACGCCTATCCGACTTCCAATGAGTGCTCCCTACGGGTGATCCGGGCAACTGTGAGAAGGCAGAAAATTAAAATGAAGCCTTTCGGACAGAAAACGTTTTCAAGAATTTTGCTCTGTTATTAATCTTCAGCAACTTTTGTTTTTATAATTTATTTTTTTATTCACATGAAAATTCCCGCTGGACAAATAACTAACGAGAGAATCGCACATAGAATAGGCTTGGAAAACCTGAGACAATTCTCAACTAGACAGAGGTCTCATCTAATATGATGTAATTTTTCAAGCCCTTTAAATTTAGAAAACTTAGATCATTTTATCTATCACATTAGATCTATGAATGTGTGTCTTTAGCTTCAGAAGAGGCTCCCATCTTTGTGCTACGCATATGTATGTTTGCTATAGTTGTAATTTTTACGCATTTTTTAATTCTGATCAAGATTCTACTGTAGTTAATGGTTTGTGTGCAGATTGTACAACCTGTGTGTTGCATGGCGATGCTATAATCAGCCGTTCCGATTTTATTGCTTTATTATTGTTGCATATCACGCTTCAGACAGCAGTATTGATCCGATATTATACTGTGTATAAACCTTTCTATAAGATTATATATAATAGCAGGCGATATAATAAAATCTGAAACTGGAGAGTGAAAGTTATCATCAATAGCAACGAGTTTATTCGTATTCGATCATTTTGGCCATATCGAAGTTTTACGTAGACGTTGACCGTCGAAACCATGATTTAGGTATCTAGTAAATTTTATAATAGATCTCACATTAGGCATTTGCTTATCGTCGTCAGCTCAACGGGACGGTAATTCCATCCAACAAACAACATGCTTACTTATGACTATATTGTAGGTAGTCACTTACCCGATAGAAAGTTAATTTGAAAGAGTCCTACCTTTTATCTCCATACCTCTATCGAAGCTCCCAACGCATCTTTGAAGTCAAATGCTGATTCTTCAACCCTGACACGAATGCACATGGATTGCCTCTTACTACGCGATCACATAATAATAATAATATGTGCTTCTATGCTACCCACTCGCAGGCGTTGAGCTGCCAGCGACAAAACTTACCTCATCTGTTATAGCATGTACACAATTGAAGGAATGGATAGTTCGGCCGTGCTTAGCTCTGGCACCGGTAGACTTTCGTCAAATCCATAGACAAGGGAGAGATAATAACTATATAAACCGCTCCGACTACGATAGTACAGCGTCATTTTAACGCTGTTTATGAGCATCAAGCTGCTACACTTTCTGGGTACACATTTACGACGCTATCGGTCACTTCTAAGTGGAACCCTCCTTTTCCGATGAAATCTAACATAGAATCATTGTCACTATTAGTAACCAATTAAGACGATGCCCTGCTATGTTATTGAAAAGCCTACTTATGTCTGTGTGTCATTCTTGCCTCCAAAAGAAGGCCAAGTGAAGGATAGCGAAAAAGAGAGGCGTTTGGGGGTAGATTTTTTAGGGCCATAGGTGTCAAGCATCTCCGCTACAACTGCCATCCAATGAAAGGACAGCCGAGACAGCCATAGTGGTCACAATAAGTATTGGCTACTGTCGTTTGGCTACCATTCAGATTGTCATCTCAATTTCATAGTTGCTATTAAATATATCTATGATTTTTACTATTAAATATATCTATGAGTTGTCTGCAGCTAATGGAAACGGTATTTGCAGGTCGAAAAATTCTTGACCGTTTTTCTAGCTATATCTTAGGTAGTATGAGTCGTATCGTGTCGGGTCGGGTCGATGTTGGTGTCGTTCGAAAATTAACCTGGCAGTACTAGACGTGCCCAAATTGCTAGAATGCCCATATCCATACAGAGATAGAGCACCTTGAAGATGAGTAGAATTTCTGAGAAGTTTGCTATATTTTAAAATTTTGTTACTCTAAAAGCACGACTGCTGCCCAGGCCCGCTAACAAATTTGAGCTGTATATGGTCAAGATGCGCCGTAGGAAAAAATGACCTAAAAATGGTTGTGCCGTTTTCGTTCTGGAAATTTCGATGTGAGAGGTGCTCACCGTAGTCTTCGGCCAATTACGAAAATCGATAAATTATTGCGAAAATTGAGCAACGGCGACATGCGAATGGTCATGACATCGTCAAGGAGCCAAGCATCTACCAGCAAACGTTTTAGAACCATTTGAAGAAAGCTGGCTACGAAAGGAAACTCCATGTTTGACGCAAACAAATTCATTCGATCGTATTCCCATCTATGAAATTTTACAGAAACGTAACGAAATCGAACTGGCGCTTAATCACGGACGGTGATGAATGGACAATCGCGCGCAAATAGGAAAAATAAAATCAATATGCCTCATAATCTACCGCAAAGTCCTGACTTAGACCAAAGAAGATGGTGCCATGTATTTGGTGCGGCTTTAAGCAATCGTCCATTATGGATTTTGCCGCTTGGTAAAAGGATTGATTCGAAGCTCGACTGCTAACGACTTACAGGATTACCACAAGCTACTGGAAAAAAAACTGATCGAATCTCGTGAGTAGAAGGGACGTGGTCTTTTACCATGACAATGGCACACCACATACATTTTTAGCTATCCGGCACAAGTTGAAAGAACTTGGATAGGAAATTTTAGCGCATCCGCTCTATAACCGATCTTGCAGCATAAGACAATGGTCTGTTACAGTGTCTGCAGAACCCTCATAATAATGTTAATTTAGTTTTGATGGAGGGATGCAAAATGCAAAGAACTTGTCACAGTTCCTAGCCTAGGAACCACAGAGATTCTACCGTGAGGGCATTATGGCAACGGTAGTCGAAGGTCACTGATTAAACTGAGGCATCTTTAGTTTAGTAATATTGTTTTAAAACACGTAAAAAAGGTATTTGCTTTAATTTTGGCTTAAAGGTCAAGACTTTTTTCCCTATAACTCAACATATGTGATGGTTATCACGGCGGTCTTCGTCACGCGTCCCTGCGAATTCCCGCCGCTGCTGCTGCTGCTGCTGCTATTATTATCGAGACGCTAATGGTGTTCGCGGTAACGATAAATTCTAGCCAGCGTTGCTATTGCGGTGATTATTACTGTTGCTGCTGCGTCTGCGCCGTTCGTGGCAAACCGATGCGACACATGACGCTCAAAAACATCAGGACAATGAAAGCGAAAAACGTACCTGCAGCCTTCTCCGCCGGGCCGCCTTCCCCAAGGTGCCGCGGGCGGCTTCACCGTGGCCAGGCGCGGAAATTCCATTTCACGCTCTAAATCAGACTGCTTTTGCCACCGCCCCCGCCACTTGCATGTTTGGATGTTGTAGGATCTTCTGGAAAGAAAGCTCATCTGTGTGATCAATTTCTATTAGCTATAGCAGACTGGTGGTCATTAGTGGAAACGACGCAACCCTTCTGTCGTCCATATTGCTTAGTGATCGCTCGAGTACTGCGTCATTATTTTTGCCATCGTTCACCTGCTTCTGAGGTGGCTTTCTCCTGCGATTTGACAATTTTCTTTCTCTAGCGGAGCGATCTGAGAGCGTGTAAATTACGTATTACAACAAAAGTAAATGTATATGTAAAGGTTATGACTGACAATAAACGACAAATCTGTGGTGTACGCCATGAGTGAAAACGGAATCAGGAACTTTGCCGCTTGTCACGCATCAAAAGGCGTATTTGACCAAGATGCCATATTAAGACTGTAGCCTAGTTGTTATCACGTATACACGTACGGCAATACAGATACCATTTCTATCGCTTATCGTTTATCCTGCGCATTTTGAATAGCAGTATCAGGAAAGCTTCATCTTATATCTGCGACCAAGAACCACTTATGGAAGCCTTGTCATTGGATACAGAATTTCATCTATGAAGCCTTGTAGAATAAGTCACAACGCTTCCATGGCACATTTTTCTCACTGTACCATTTCTAGAAACAACAAAACACATTCAGGCTGGTTCGTTTATATGCAGTGATAATTTTAGGTACATTGGTGCTTGCCTCGAATCATAACATTGCACACACATGCCCCAATTTCCTAAACTTTGCCAGCACATCACTGCCTTCAATTTCGTGTATCGTACCGACTGCGTATTACGGATAATACGAGTGCCACATAAAGTTTCTATTTAACTGTAGCCAAGCATTTGCCAAAATGGTATTTCGAAAAACAACAGCTTAACAGACCGCCACGTATCATTTGATAACTCGTGAGACGTCGCACGTTCCATAATGTAAAGCAACATTTTTTTTGTTATATTTTAGCGTTCACTACTTCGATAATTGACCAAATCCCATATTGATTTTTCTCTTGTCGAGAATCGTGGTCGGAACATTTGCTTGATCCTTCGCATATATCGTTGTTATTTATCTCGATTTTAATTTTCATTTAATTTTTTTTGTGTATGCGATTGCTGTCCAAACACGTTAAGGGATTTCGCGGCTCCACAGCCGTGTTTCTATCGCTAGACATATTTGCTTCGCCGGCGTTAAGGGTAGCGGGCTGTTTCATCATAAAGTAGCTGATTAAAATGCTGAAAGACGACCGGTTAAAGTAAGTGCCTTTCAGCCGTACACAGCCACAAAAAGTACCTATATAGACTTCAGTGGCGGGAATGTCCTGGTCTGAGTTGGTGACTCTGGGACATCAATTCAATCAATCAAATTTAAATCATGTGAAGTGTCCTTGTAGAGGAGGAAACCTATAGAACATACATTACAGGTTCACAAACGCTACGCGCAGTTAAATGTCTATTTATAAGCTGTAGTTATATACATATATAGTCTATTTATAAGCCTTTTTCTAATCAACATACTGCTCAACTCGTACGAGCGATCTGACGAGAGTACCAATAATAAGTAATAAGAGAGTAGTAAATAAACTGCCATTCGACGGTAGATGGTCTTCTAAATCAATCAGATTTTGCCTGCCAGACGGTGTGTGGTGTACCCGTGCTATTCTAGTGAGAAACGTATTTGTCTGCTAATGTTTGGTTCGAATCCAGGCGTACGCTTCAAACTAGAAGCAACCCAATGTCTAACTGTGGCGACAGGCGTAAAACTCGAAATATTTAGACGGTGTTTGCTGTTCAGTGGGCTTGGCGGGCAAATCCAGTCTTATCTGATTGATCAGTGAAGTCTTGTAGACGGCGATGACCGGCTATGCCCTAAAAGCTGTGTATACTGAAGGATGCGTATGGAATGTCATTACGTTCAAGTTGTTGTCGTAAATGTCTACGAATTGAGATACTACGTTTATCTGGGGTTCATAATGTATGTTCTTTCTTCTATATGATATCTATAGCGTTAAATAATGATTATACATGCATCCTTCATGCAACATCACACAAACTTCTGCGGCGCAGAAGCTTCAAATGTAAGTAGCATAAAATTGACGTTAGAATTCGAAATAAGTTAAATTGCAAAACAACCTAGCTGACAGGCTAAGATGATCACAGACAGGACACGGGATATTATTAAATGGATATGAGGACACTGCACGTATTATGTGTTAAACTTGTCATTGATCAATTGACGATCTGCTATTGTTATTCTACAGCGAGCATGAGATTCTATAGACACGAATAATTTTATTTACTTACGAGGAACGGCTATGGCCTCTACAATATCGTAGACTTCGACGCAGAGAACACCAGCCCACTAGAAGTGCCCTAACACTTCAAACGTGTGCAGAACACCGCCGGCGAAAATCCATCAAGTAGAACAAACATTTTCTACTCTAGCATCGTTGTTGAGCAAATTAAGCCTCCCAATGGGAAAATAGAATAGATATAACCTGATAATTTTATTGTTTCGTTTAGGTAACGGGGGTCAGGGGTTGAAAAGGATAGGTGGACGACGGCGAAACTTTTTGCTGTTATTGACCCTGTCTGCATCACTTAAACTAATAATATATAATTGTACATTTTTTGGTCACGCAAACAGAGGCCTGTCAGACCACCAACGTCCTATTATTAGTTCTAAGGAAAACGTTCTATTATCACCACCGCTGTCATTATCAGTCTATTTTGGCTAATTGGATAAACGCAGTCTGCCATCACTTATCGGGCGGGCGATGTTAGTCACAACGATTCTAGTAGTAGTAATCAGGATCGTTATTACCTATTAGCAATAGTTGCGGACCATACTATTCAAGCTTTTCACTTTATTGGTACGTACTGATCAGAGACATAATAGATAGGGTAAATACGCTTCTACAGCCCTTCTCCGATCTCACTGAATACCCCCCCCCCCCCCGCCCCCTCCGCCATAAAGAGCCATAGTAAACTATTGAAATTTGTTCACGACTAAGTTAGTCCTGAATGATAATTGGCCGTGTTTACATTATAGTCCTGCATGGTCCAATAACGATGCCAAACGGCTAAACAGGAGTTTGCACACTTAGGGTAACCTCATTTTTGAGCTCGATTATGGGGCGGGATAAATATAGTCCGTGTGTTCTGATCGTGCCGTGTACCTTTAAGTCAACATGCTGTTCGTGGTAAGCGTCGTCCCTTTGTCTTTAAACTATTTCAATAAATCTAATTTTGTCAACAATTAGCTGTTATTAGATGCAATTATGTCTGAGCATGTATATATTGGTTGTGAAGTAATAGTAGAACATCGACATGACACCTCATGCCTCGTGGACGGGCGTCAAGCCCTGCTCTGCTCTGCTCTGGATAATGATAAAAATGGCCTTGAGCACAGTTTAAATTATTTTGAATGGATGGCGCCAGCCGTTCGTCACCATTAATCTTGTATTATATGTGTGCTATTATTTGCTAGCAACACGTCAAGGCCTGTTCGCAACTTGTGATGGAGACGCTTTCTAACTAACTAAACGAGTACTCCTTTTTTTTAACTTCAGAGATATTGTTTTGATAGGATCTCTCAAAGGCTCGACCGAATCTATACTTTGAACATGTGGCATTTACATCGGACATATTACGCAGGTCAACGCAGAAGAATCGCGTAGCAAACGATTCTTCAGCAGAAATGCCGCGGTTCACTGCAGACGAAATCAAACGAAAAGTCCTTGTTTTCCAACTGTCCAATTATGTTCACTTTTATCATTTATAATTTTTTTTTCTTAGTGTTAGATGTTTTCTATCTACAATGGCAGTGTGGCAAATGTTCACTCATAGCAGGATACGGAGGTCTGTTTGCACCTTCATCGTTATCGCTCTCTTCAAAGATCGTCACGACATTATCGACAACCGCTAAATACTACTATGACAAAAGCTTGTTATGATTAGCTATCAAGCTGCCAATCATACGGACACGGTAATTGTCACGTCCGACACGTGTTACCGTTTACAAACTACAGCTCAGGTTTACCGTCGACATCCCTGACCCTACCCCGTATTTGTCTTCGACACGTAGATGAACGGAAAGGTAAAGGTGACGATGATACAATAACGTATACACACGCACCAATAGTAACTTACGGCAACAACTGTTCACAAACAAAAGAATAGGACATTCCGACGATTCTGATCAATATCATCCCTATGACGACGAAAATTGTCAAATACAAAATACCGAACATAGTTCAATAGAACATGATTGAATTCAGATACGCCAATCTAAACGAGGTAATCAGGTTATACATATATATATATATATACATGGACCATTTCATATCTGTTAGAGGCTGCCATGTTGTTTGTAGCACCGCCATTTTTACGCGATGACATACGCGTCCCCTGTTCACAAGTTTCTATGCGTGCTTAGCTTTTTTAGATACTTCCGTATTTGATGTGCAACACGAATGTGGAGGCGTACTACTCTCAGGTGTTTTTTTGCCTGTTTGGAACGCTTCCTTTTTAAATTAGGGCCTGTATTTGGTACAGCACTGGCCTTAGGGCTATAATATATGTACACTGTTTGTCATTACGCGAGCGACAAACCATCAATTAATAGGAAAATGATTCACCACTATGCATTGATTTTTACTAATATCTTCGTGACAAGCTCTCCACAACGAGGGTCCAGTGCTCATACTTGAATCCCTATCGTTACCCTAAAAATAAGCGCATGGACAAATGGAAGAAGTGATATTTTCTGAAATCGCTTTCACAAAATGGCTTAAACAGCTTGGTGCCTTTATTATTACTACGGGTCAAAAAAAGACCCAAACGGTACGCGATTACGGTTTAGTGATCTAGGTCCCGAATGATATATAGATTGCATCTAGAAATCGTCCATTGGGCAGAACGTTAGGAATGTATCATGCAAAGGTCAAATAACGTTTGTGCATAGATTCCTATTTGGTTTTTACGCAAAATAGTTTCGTACACTCCCCGAACCTCAAACTTGTGCAGTTTTTTTTTTATCAGCAGGCTAGTTAAAAAACGACACAAACTAGTTGCGCACGCATAAAAAACAGATTTATGTTTACCTATTTACATGACTGAACCGCTATTGTCAATAAAGCATCAATACCAGAGGCATCACAACGCAGCAAATCTATATTCAACAACTGGTTTTTATGGTATTGAACAATGGCTCTCGAAATAGATTTCATCGACTCTTTTTTAATATCTCTTGTTTGCAAACGATTAAGTCCACGATCGTTCATTCACTCGATATTACATGTATGGATAATTGTTTTTTTTATTACTTTTAAATAAAAAGCGTTACATGGCTTTGTTCGCTCAGCGTGCGTTTATAGTTAAACTAGAAAACGCGTCTGCCTGTATATATGCGTGCATATAGTATTAAACGTGTATGATTACATCTCGATACAAGTATGTATTGCGATCGGTCAAACGGCCACGTTATCTGTTCTGAAGCTGAAGATGCTGTACTAGCGTGAAGACAGATGACGGGCGCCATCTGCTGGCATTCAGTTCAGACCTTCGCATGTCGCGGTCGATGGAACAACAGCAACAACGTCAGAGTGACCGCTATGAACTTTTGATGATTCTACTGCAACTGGTCAAAGTCAGGAAATCGTAAAGCAAAGAAAAGTAGAATAAGATAAAAAAATTATGTTGGCACATTTTTGTATTCATTTCACCTGAAACATGACAGCAGTCTAGCATTTACCGTTTGCCGTCCTCGTTAATTTCAACGGTAGAACTTTGTCGTAGTGTTAATTTAGCACGATAACTAGGTTATACATATGATATTATGTATTAGATGCACGCTGGACATGTACGGTAGATTTAAGAACTTCGTTAAACCGCTCGATTCATCCGAAACTAACGGATCATTAGGAAGGAGTCAACGGTCAATCCAAATAAATTCAATTATTACAAGTCGATGCATAACCGCTATTATTGAAGAAAACCCAAATAATTATTATAAACCAAAATAATAATTCTGTTATGTAATCTTTGTGGTCTCGGACGATCAGTGCTGTCCTTAGCAGTACTTGCTTGCTGGCTTTATAAATCTATATATCAGTGTGGCGTCTGTATTGCATCTAGGTTATATATAAGTTTAGTTGGTACCTGATGCACGTCTATAGACTCTCTCTAGCGAAATTGGTACTTGAGCTTTATATTGTATCTTTTATATATATGCTTTATATATCAAATGAATTGCCGCATGACACGTACACCCAGTACAAGTAAAAGGGAATAGTTAAGTAACGCGCGGATCGATGACTACTCGAGTAACTTGTGCAGTAGAAGTGTTTTTTTTTTTGACTGCCCTGCACTACTGAATGCGCTGCACGAATGTTTATTGTGCTATAAGGACAGGTTAAACCGGAAACGCTTTTGATTCGACTATAGACTGTTATTGTTTCTATTCGATTAGTCAACAAATAGCAAAATCATTCTGCATAGCTGCACTCTGGCAATGAAGAATGAAGACTCATTCTCGTTATGACGGGAAAGTCATGTCGCTTTGTAAATTAGATTTACTGTTGTCGAAAATCACTATGCTACAAAGGACGGTTATGGATAGCATGTTCTAGGGAAGAATGTGCATATCAAAAGGAAGAAGAGTCTACATACGAAACTACACAAATCTTCAACGAATTCTTACTTTTTTAACATCTTCTATTCTCTGCTCTTACGATTTGCTTCTATTGACTGTGGCTGGGAGCTATCAAAAAGGTTCTTTTTCGCGATACTGGTAGAACTCGTTAGTCACAAGCCGATCGAAGAAATTTATCGATGACACCTTACCGTTCTAATTGCGAATCAATTCACCTCACAATCGAGGTCCTGAGTTAAGTACGGACGAGATACGCAGGAACGCATGACATCAACTAATGTTGAACAGCGTTTTCCAAAAAGTAGCTGCAGTATCTATTGTTTTTACTTCGCGTCGGTACTGATCAAGACTTCAATGAATTCCGCTAAAAAAATCCTGACCGCTGTGGCAAAGTTCCGCCGAGCAGCTTGTTTGTACTATAATTGGTGATGCGGACACATAAAATCATATATCCATGTTATTCTTTAATCTTTTCCTTTGTGGTTCATTCATAACTGAAGAGCCGCACCGAGGTATCATTCGAAACAGAGCGGTCCGCCGATTGTCGCCTACACTGATCCACCTTTTAACACGGATAGATTATAAATACCTACCTACATTATTAACGCATACAATACAGGAGATTTTATTGATTTAACTTATTTATGCGTATAAAGCTTCCCGTAGTTAGGGCACGATGCCGGTCTTACGAAGACCGGCATCGTGCCCTAACTCCCTGGATTAGCCTTAAAATGGCGCTTCTCG